CCGTTAATGTCATCCGCGGTCTGAAGGGCGGAAGGAATAATAGCACCCTACATATAATTCCTTGGATCAGGGCCATGTGAACCAGGACCAATACCAGGACTTGGACAGGAACGAGGACTAAGATTAGGACCAGGGTCAGGACCTCGACCAATACCAAAACTAAAACCTGGACCAGTACCAGAATTAGGGTTAAGACCTAGAACAGCACCAGTCCTTGAGCCTTCCACCATTTGTGATGCTTGGATGACCTTTCTTTGTGGAAGGCGGGGTGAAGGAGCTGGAGGAGACCAACCATCCGGAGGCCTAGAATCCCAATTTGGTTATCCCTCATGTTCCCATGTCAACCCTTGGGCCCTTGACCTTTGTTAGATCCTTCAACGTACACACATCCCTCATGTCCGGGATCCATTCTCCGCCATACATTAGCTTTGAATGGATCCCGAATCAATCTGCCTGTCGCTTTTTATTTGCACGTTGGGTTTAGTGCACAGGAAGAGTCCAAAAATAAGTGTCCATATGCTTTGCAGTTGAAACACCACCGACGCAACTTATGCGAAGCATGAATGTGAAACTCCTTGCTCCCCACTCTGTATGGAATAACATTATTTATATGAAAAAAAATCTTAGAAGGATGGTTCAGTGCCAGCATAAAGTAATCATCCCTTCTAGCCGCGTAAGCTGGGAGTGGATCAATGAAGTCAACTATATCATATGTCTCCCCAAAATCATGCACGAATGCGGGTTGGATCTCTATTGGGATGTGACGGAATTCCACTCAATAAGGATCTTGACACCTTTCAACCAGTCCTTGCTTTTGAGGAACCCACGGATACATTCTGTGTTTCGATCTGTCACACCGCAACTTTTTACAATCATCAATTAATTGTTTGTCATTTATCTACACACATAATACCATAAAGACCGTTGAGGAGACTGACTGGATTAAAAAATCCTCATTGACTGCCTCATGACTGCTACCTTTACATTGTGTGTGTCTTTTACCTATCCATTTTATGTTTTCATTTGTTGTCTTGTATCCCGTGTTGTCATGAAAGACCTAGATGTTTGCATGTAATCGGTAAATGTAATCTCTTTCCGCAATCTTTTGGGTTGAGAGAAACGGTTAATGTAAGGCCCAAAATTCGCACTAGCAGTTGATGGAAGGCCCAATATTTAGTTTTTTTTCGCCACAGAACCCTATTCGGAGCTGCTTTCCAAGTTCGCCGATCTTTCTCCGAACAAAAAACACAAAACTCAAAAGCTCTACAAAACTCAAAACCACTACAAAACTCAAATGTGGTAAGACAATTTGGGTGAGGCCAGTAACAGGCACTCGCACCTGGACTCTAGACTCTCGGGAGACATTTAGCGACTCCCTCAAGTAGACGAGTTCGCGGGAAGTGGCCACATCTGCATTGAAGGGTTGCAAGTTGCTGCTTTAGTTAAAAAAAAAAAAAAAAAAAAAAAAAAAAAAAAAAAAAAAAAAACGAAACAAAGTTGCCAATTTGGTCTTCCACATCGCGGGGGATTCGGCGTCGTACTTTGGTGTAGGGCACACCCTCGTAGCTGATAGGCCTGTAGTATAGAGGTTGCTAATTGGGTAAGGAGGACAATATGAGAGGGGGGTGAGCTATACTTCATCTAAAATTGCAGGCTACTCAAGAAAGTGTCATGCACCTAAGGGTTGCCCGTGTGTGTGCGCATTGTATGTATGTCCTGTTGGGGTACTTCTAGGTCTCTTTCCCTATCCTCTATGCAACAGGTACTTCTGGGTCTCTTTCCCTATCCTCTATGGTCTTGATTGTCAAAGAAGGGCTACAACTTTGAGACATCATCATATGAACTGACCGATCCTAACTCAAATTTGCAATACTCAGTCATCTACTTTCAAAAAAAAAAAGAAAAAAAGAATACGACCTAAGAGTTCGGCAATGTTCATGGAGTCCTTCAATTTGCGGTTGAAAGTTGAATTTCACTCAACAATTTTCCACCTCCCTACATTGTGAAGATAGACCCCTCCCAGTAACCCGGGGCTACTGTCGGGTGAGGCGCTACCGGGAGCGTTGTGCCCGCCCAAGCCGAATCAACGGGTACACTAACACGCGTTGAGACACGAAGCTGCAATGGCGCTTTCACGAGGGCAAAACGGATCAATATCATGTGTGGCGATGGCACGTCTTAAAAACTTTCGTGGGTGTGGAGACAGGAGGGGGGTGTGGTTTGAGTACCCGTGTGTCGGGGGGGTGCTACGTGGCATAGGGTTATGACGCCACTCTTTCTGTCTACTGTGTTTAATCTTTGTCTCTCGCTTCTCCGGTTCTTTGTTGTCATGGGTCATTGGATTTGCACTGAATTCTCTGTGGAGCTGTGTTGACGGGTTTGCCATGGTCATTCACAACGGTTGTGGGGAGCAACAGGGAAGCGGCGGTGTCCCACTAATCTCTTCTGGTTGGTGCACTTTGTCGTAGGGCTATACTAGCACCGGTTGTGGGGAGTAGGAGTGTCTCCTTCTATAGGAAGAGGCAAGGGTTGGGTTTGGTCTGGGAAGCGGTTGGGCAGCTGGACAAGGGACTGCAGTAGCGAGGCGGAGCATGATGGTCTACAATGATTGGTGACATCAAGTGAAGGTCTACGATGATTAGTGACTTCAAGTGAAGTTCAAGGCGATGTCACATAGCGACGGGAGCTCTGAGTGCAACATTTTTTCAAAATTTAACCCTAAGTAGTACTCCGATAGATGATTTGATGGTTAGGGATATCTCATTGGTGTTTGTAAATCAAAACCCAGTTTTTTTCTTGATATTTTCTTGGATGGTGAATTGAATGTTGTCGATTTCAGTATCCGACAAAGGATCTGTTAATCTGATTTTTATATGTTTCTCAATTCGTAATTTCTTTTTTGCATAGATTGATGGTCCAAGTTTACAATTGAGTACTTTTTTCTATACTCGTATATTAACCATCCAAATTAGTCTTCAGATTACAACATCTGGTAAATTTTCTGAGCTACTTTTTTGTATCCTTGGATTTGAAAACCACAATCGTAAGATTCGTCAATCTATTTGGACATCAAAATTGATCTCATAATCTTCTTTTCCAAATTTCAGCTGCACAATTTTATATTTTATACTTCTTAATAGTTCTTATGTCATAATCTGCGATTTCAAATAGTAGAATCCTATTTTCTTAATCAAAGTTTAGTTTTTCCTTAAACAATTTCCGTGCATGGATATTCATCTTATAATCGAGTTGAAAACCCTAAATTCGTGAGTATTGGAATTTCGCCCTGCAGAGTTGTATTCTAGTACCTTGTTTTGCATTGATCGTGTTTGATTTACTTGGATTTGGATGGTGTTTTTTTTTTCTCTCCATGGCGAGGGGGCTAGTTCGTAAGACGGAAATAGGAAGCAACGATGTGGCTTCACCGTTATAAGTCTTGTCGGAGTGGAGATTAGGAGGAAGGTTTGCGTGGTCTGGGTTTGTCAAGCACGACCAGTGCACAAGGGAAGCTGAATATTTTTAAACCTTGGTTGCGGGGGTGGATTCAGCGGATCTTCCTACAACGGGTTTCACCGTCATATTCACGAAGTAGCCCGACGCCAGAGCGACGCTGGACGGAGTTAGGGTTTGATTGCACTGCCCTGTAACCTGAGTTATGTAGGGGTTTGAGGCCTGTTAGAGAGATCTGGGGAGTTGTCGATGGTGAAAGGCAATCCAGTGGCTAACCACGAGCTATTACTAAGACGACGCGGGTCGGAGCTAGGGTGGGTCACGCCGCACTGTAACCCGGCATCTGGGGGTGTGAGGCTTGGTAGAGCTTGGTGTCGAGGATGAGTGGGCTGAGGTTGTTGTAGGATGGTCGGTTGAATAACACCGGGGTAACACGGGTTTGATTATATTGGGCTTCAAATTCTCCTAATTGGTTCTCAACTTTCACAAACAATTTTTCTTAAACACAGTTAACGAGGTGATAAGAGCATCCCCGTTAAGTAGGCCCCGACTCGAAGGCTCCATCTATTGGTGGGGAGCTACACCTGCTGGAAATCGGGTCCAGCATCCCTTTACAATGATGAAATGTATCTGCTGGAAATCAGGTCCAGCGTCCTTATGCAATGGTGTGCTGGAACACAGGTCCAGCATCCCTATCCATGTAAACTATCGAATCTCAACAATCTGAGGCATCAGTCCAATCAGTCGAAACCCTAGCCATGATGAGATGTGTACTACCGATGCTATGATTTATATCTGCTGGAAATCGGGCCCAGCGTCCTTATATCGTGTTGTGTAATTATGTAGACTCTGGAATCTCTGCAACAATCTGAGGGATCAGTACCTTTAGTCGAAACCCTAACCATGATATGTTCTACCAATGATGTGATTTATATCTGCTGGAACTCAAGTCCAACATCCCCATGTCGTGTCTTGTAACTATGTCCAACAGTCAGAATATACGTGTTCTTAATCTATACCTATCAATCCAACCCCTAAACAGCCCACCTACCAATGATATGATGTGTTCTACCAATGATGTGATTTATATCTGCAGAATATGATGTGTTTGTCCTCCTGCAATCCAACCCCTAAACAGCCCAGCACCAATCCCGCGAGGCGATCACCACCCCAATGTTGATTGGTATTGCAGGCCGGACAACACCAATCATCACTGACTAACCTACTCCTATCCTCTGGCAGACGACGAGAAGCAACTCCATATCGAGAGCGCAAAATATAACAAGGAGGAAGTCAAAAAACCAGTTTCCCGTGTCCACCCCATTCCAACCCCGTCTGCCTGCAACATCTCACCCATCATTCTGCCGCCATGGACGTCGCCCCCTCCGTCGTCAATGTTTTTGTTGTTGTTATTGTTGTTGTAGTTGATGTTGCTGTTGTTGTTGTTGTTGTTGTCGTCTCCACTATCATCCGCATCCATCTGCTGTATCACTCCCCTCATGCGGCAACAGTGGATATCACCTCCCCCATCATCATCGTTGTTGTTGTTGTTGTTGTCACCACCTTTATCATCCATGTCCATCTACAGCATCACACCCTTCATGTTGATGCCGTGTATGTTGCCACCGCCCTCGTCACCGCTGTTGTTGTTGTTGTTGTTCCTGTTGTTGTTGTTGATGTTGTCGTCGTTGTCGCCGTTGTTGTTCACGCCATCATTGTTAATGTTGCTGTCATCCTTCCCACCACCTTCGCCAATTTTCCCCAATTTCAATCCCTGTGCACCATCGTTTTTGTCATTGTTGTTGTAGTTGATATTGTTGTTGTCGTTGTTGTTGTTGTTATTGTTGTTATTGTTGTTGACGTCTCCATTATCTTCCGCATCCACCTGCAGTATCACTCCCATCTTGGTGCAGCCTTGGACATCGGCCCCCCCATCTTTGTTGTTGTTGACACCATCCCCATCCTTGACGTCACTGTAGCTGATGTTGTTGCTATTCTTTGTGTTTTCGCCGCAATCATCTTCACTTGCCAGCAATCCATACCGATACTGCAACTGATTGCGTAGATCTCGCCCCAATGTGAAGAGGGTTCTGAAAGCAGCCAACCTGTCATTTACCCGCCTCCAGTCGATGTAGACATCGAGCCACGGGATCTACAGCTATGGTGCTCATTGGTGGCTTGACTGGTATTTGCCTTAGTCCCGAGTCCCAGTGGTTTGTGGATAGACGAGGCCAGAACGATGCTGGTCGGTGCTGGGGCTTGGTCGCGCTGCCCTGTAACTCAAGCTGTACGAGGGCATGAGACCTGCTACAGAGAACTGGGGGGTTGTCGAGGGTGGAAGGCACTCTAGTGTCTTTTGGTGAGCTGTTGCCTAGTCGATGCTGGCCAGAGCCGGGGTGTGTCACCTTGCCATGTGGCCTAGCAGGTGGGGAGTTTCTGGGGTGGGTCGTCCCACTCTGTAACCTAGCAGTTGGGGGCACGAGGCCTGGTATAGATTGGGCATCGTGATATACGGGTGAGGCAGATAGGGTTGGGCTGCTGAAAGGCCCTAAGGCAGGTGGGTTTTCATTCTGAATGCTCCTTCGATCCGAGCTTTGGGGAATAGTGAATTTTAGTGTTCTTGAGTAGATTACACAGTTGTCTTTCGTAGCCAAACCTGGCTAACGGCCCCGGTATCTCAAGGATTTCTCCATAAACTTCTCAATTTCTCAATATGCTCTTGAATGCGACGCTGGGCGAGGTTCCCAGCACGTCCTGCTCCCCATGAATAGACTGGGGCATGTTCCCAAAATTAAAAAAAAAAATAATAATAATAATAATAATAATAATAATAATAATAATAAGAAAAGATAAAGCACTCGCCTTTTTACCATTCTCCTGAAGCCGGAGACCCTACACGCCTTGCGACTCGGCCGATTTCATGAGAATTCAGTCTCTTAAACCGCTAGTCCACGACCCCAGCCTTGCAGAAAGGTTTTGTCGCCACAAGTAAAACTCGGAGGCACAACTCGGCCAGGCCCGGCGTTGAAATAAAACATCAGCAGCCTCAGAAGTGGTGCTGGTTTCGTGCTGACACCCGCGGGCCGATATATGGCGTACTGGTGCGCTAAACCACCAGCACCTCACCCAGCTAATTCTCTCCTACACGGCTGTTACCGACGTGGCACGTCAGACACGGACGCCGAGGCAGTGCACACCAGTCGCAGCCAAGTTGGCGTCAAGAGGGAAACAAGGAGAAGAAAAGAAATCTATACTTCATGGACAGCATTATTGTCGGGAAAGGTTGTCCCTTCGGCTATGCTTCTGGTACGTCACTGTTAGAATGGATCTGTAACTGTTATGTCGGGAAATATTCGCAACGATGTTACTTTCTTTTTTTTGGTTCTTTTCCTTTTTCAAGTGTCCTGCCAGCGAGGCAGGGTGTATTCCGCCGTGTTGGGAAAGGTTGTCCCTTCGGCAATGTTTCTGGTACATCACTGTTAGAATGGATCTATAACCGTCATATGTCGGTAAATATTCGCAATGTTGTGACTTTCTTTTTTTTTTCTTCTTTTCCTTTTTTTAGTGTCCTGCCAGCGAGGCAAGGCGTATTCCGCCTTCTTCTCACTATCTGTCATTAAGGGCATATTCACACTGGCACTGTGACGATTGCAGCCAACCATTTTTAGGGCCACAGAGATGCCTCGTCTTTCTCCTGTCTTCCATTAGAAGCCCCCATTTTTTTTCCTTTTTCCTTTGTACATTCTGGCAACAAAGTGACGGGGCCGGGAAGCCCTCATTACGGGAAGCCCTCATTAAGAGCATGCCCGTGCCAGCTCTCGGCATAACGTATAGAACTCTGCATTCACGTCCCAATTCTTGTTAATCTTATCTAATTCTTTTTTTTTCTTACTGCTTCTTCAAGGCTCCGCCTGTCCACAAAACCAGTACCGCCAGGCTCCGCACGCTCAGCATACCAGACGCCCGAGGGTAAGAAAAAAAAGTAGCACTAGCTACTGCTTCAAACCACCGAATGCGTTTCCAAGCCAACTTGCAGGAACGTGCCGGGCCAGGCGCATCACGAATGACCGATCCTCTGGGGTGCCGTTTCACCTCGAATCCATCCAACGCAAACAGGACCTCTCATACTACCAGTTTTGCCTGGTTGGATTTCGAGTAAAACGGCAGCAGCAGTTTGTTTGCGCCTCCTAAACAAGCCCACATCCACGGCGTATTTATGCAAAATGGCTGGGAAACGTCCTGATGCTTTAATCCACCAGTCCAGTACCTTACCCCACTTGAAATCCAAGACACGCAAGGTAACGCGGTAGCCAATCGAGGGAAGGGCGCCGGTCGCCGTTGATAAATCGATTCCAGGCCCACTTTTCGTTTCTGGTCTCCGACACTGCCCATGGCTGACATATGCAAAAAAGGTACAGTTGCTTTATTTTTTTAATTAAAAGCCAGTCTCCAACACTGCCCGCGGCCAACATATGAGAAAGGTACTGGTGGTTGTTTAACATGTTTACTGTCAGTGAAATCGCTGATAAAGTGTACCATTCAGGCACATGCCCGCATCCAATACCATACCCCCATGAGACCTGCAACGCGTGGTGTCCTTTTGAAACTTTCATGGAGATGTATATAACACCGTGAGCATATAAGCCCGTGCCTAGATTGATGGACTTGTGATGCTGGTCAGACAGAGCGCAACACCTGCAGGGAGAATTTCAATCCCCACCGATTCACCAACATTCATGAGCATTCACCCAACCACACACTCAAAAATATGCACACCTCACAATCTGCCTCTTGTCGAGAGACATTTCTCGGTCACTTAGATAGCACAAGGACGGGCTCCCCACTGATAAACTGAACAAGATGGCAAAACATAACATCCTCCCCTCCCCCCCTCTGCTCCCCGTAACTCTTCTCATGACTCGTGTAGGAAGAAATGCAGCGTTGGGATTGGTGCTGCATTGTCACAATCTACCTCAAAATACAATTACTCACTATTTACACAACCTAACTTCTGGCATGGTCGCAAATCTAAACCAACTTCACAGGGCTGCTCCTCCGTCTCATTTCTTATCAGCGACGAGAGTTGCACTGTGTGCTTTGCAGAAGCAAAAAGGCCCAAGGACCTGATTAGAGATGGCAGAAAGGTGCAAACAATGGCAAGACACTTCGTCCGGCACCACTCGAGCCACGCTACAGAAACCTGATACACTGAGCTTCACCGAATTGTCAGAGGACCTAAAAAGAGAAGAAAGAAAACGCTCATGTTTTTGCAGTAGGAAGATACGAGACTGGACAAGGAAACAACCACAGCAGCAAGGAGTTGACAGAGCTTGAATCAGTGTCAAGTGTTGTGGCACAACAACGAAGAACATTATAGGCTATACATAAAAGACATGCTGCCAATGCAAAACAACGTAGGCTTGCGGGATGGAGAAAAAAAGAAGTCACGGATCCAAAAGAGACCGACAAGCTTGAAGATTGAGTGCCTCCATTGCACTCTGGGTGTGAAATGAAGCCCACAAATGCTGACACACACCAACTCGTCACGAACACCGGCCTCCACATTCAATCATGAAACCTGAACAAGATCCACAAAGCAGATCGATACCATTACGCGATGTGCCGTTGAACAGCCACTTTGATATAAAATTGAAAAGGAATAACCTCCAGCGGTTCACGAGGAAACCCAGCATTGGAGAACAGGGTGCTTAAAAGTAGCCGCAATCAAACATTAAACCCCACCAGTACCTCCTAAAAGTGCCCTCTGCGCTAACAACCACCCAAACACGGAAACTGCGCTGTTTCCACTTGGCTGAATCTGGCCTACCGGCGCACGCCCGTTCATGCCAAAAGCCCATGGCCGATAACGCGGAGGAGCACTTTTAGGAGGTACTTGTGGTTTCAAATTCGGATCTCAAACTCTTCTCACCAATTCGATTCGCCAAATCATTCTACTATCCCAACCCGCTTTTAGAGCAATACCCGAGAAGGTTTGAAAACAGAAATCAATCTTCACGTATGGAGCCAAAAACTAAATGGCCGTGTTTGGCCGTGTTTAATAACGAAGCGGAAACAAAATGGGGTCAATGCTTTGACAGACAGTGAAGTCCACCACTTATATCTCATACTCGGCATCCTCCTACGATCTTAGCTATACACACCTTCGAGCGCAAAGGTAGCATCGAAGACTCCCGACATGCAACACAAGCATGCATCTCAGCATCAAACCAAAGCAATATAGCACTGTACCCTCAACCAGGATTTCAAGACAGCCTTCCACGCCGCAAATCAATTGCTTATTTTTTGCCCCTCTGAACAAAGAGGCCATGAGCACTTCATCACCAGGTGCAGAAAACACTTACAACACGAACATGCGAAAAGGCTCCTTGCATGCGATCTCAGGCATACCGTTGATACGACGAGCTTTTGCTTTCACAGCTTGACCGTCACCATCCATGGAAGCACGACCACATTTTACAGGTACACTCTTCAAAGGAGAAATACAAGAGCGATGGCAGTAGCTGTCTGCCAACGCATCGTAGAGATCGAATCAACTCCGCTATACCATTCAACGGATGATCTAATCACACTAGGATTTCCCTATACAGCCTCTCAACCATCAACTCGCAATAATGTTAAGCAACATCCTCCTTTCGACAAGATGAAGGGGCACCACCAGCCACAACAGCCTTTGATCGCCCGCCCATGTATCTAAGCTGCACCAATTAGCAGGGAGGCATAATAACAATAGGCGCTTCATGGCAGCAGTCAAGCGTTGTCCGCTTTGGAACACCACAAGTGCCAAAGAGTGAGATAAGCTCAGAAAGGGATCACCGAAAGAAAGATCAGCAACAAAGCGTGCTGCTATCTCCCCCCCCTACTTGCCGACATTATCATGGGGGTCTTAACAACCATCAACAACGACAACAACACGAGACCTTGGACGCCCTTTCCCTGCAATGCAGGGACCCTTTATCCCCCCCTATGAGGCACGATTGGCAGGACAAAGGGGAAAAGGGATCCACCAGGTTGGAAATTTCCTTCCAGAACTGCTAAAAGAGGAAACCATCCCCAAGACAGTACACTGTGCGTCTCCAATCAGCAGCTGCCTGGATGAATAAAAAAGCCATGCACACTAACACGTTCAGATTTCTAACGCGCTCACTCCACGGTACATCTCGAGATGAAGCGACACCGTTGACCTGCTCCATTTGCATCCTCTCACGCTCCGAATCTCATAATACCCTGCGGACAAAATCGGAATGTCTCGGCAATCAAAACAACCATACAGGATCAATTGAAGTCCTCACAGACAGCATTTCCTTGTCAGCCTCCTCGTCTCTTGGAGGACATCTTTCCTCGGCTGCATTAAAACGGCAACGCACCCAGTTGCATGGTGCGAAGTGAGATAAGACCCGATGTTTCAACCTCGAGATATCATCCCGCTCATGGCATTCTGCACGGTAGGCAAGACAACAGCTCTGTCATAGACTGCACCCACACTTTGACATATCGGCGACAGCAAACAAACAATAAACATCGAATAAACGGTGGCCCGTAGTCATCCCGAAGCCACACTCGTCAGTCACAAGATTGCTTGCTAGGCCTTCATCAGAATCGATCACATACAGCACGCATTCAAAGCATCCTCTGCACAGGGGACTGAATTGAATACGGCAATCACCCAAAGCGTCTCCGTGCAGGTGTCGAGATGGCTGTCTGTGGTAACCGTCCTGCAAGAAAGGCTTGAGCCTTCCTCAGCACACAATGGACCTCCTCGCTCTGGGATAGGCAATTGAAAGAGTTCATTTGCATCCCAGGAACGACCCGCAAATGGATGCCAAAACATCCCCAAACATAGACTGTGCCCGAAGATTCCCGTTTGACCTGCACATTCCGAGTCTGTTAAAGGGCGATCCAGCAACCATCCATACTTTGGAAGATGCATACAAACTCCACCAAAAATCATGCAGAATAGCCAGCAAACAATTCACTTCCACTGTTAGAGGCGGTCAAACATGGTTACATGCTTTACACTCGCAAAGCGAATCAATCGGTCACAGCTCTTCCGCACAAAACCACAGACCAGACCATGAAATTCATAGAACGTAACACCATACCACACATTCCACGAAACAAGAAATCGTTCGAAATATACCTCCACACACGACTCACAACAACATACACGACCAGCAACATATTTCCCAAACCATTCCACATTTGTCCATAGCAAACACCAATACATCAATCAATCAGCTCCAAACACCAATACATCAATCAATCAGCTCATAACTGCAAGAAACGACGAGCGGATAACACAATCTCCAAGACCACCGCTGCAACAGCGAAGACGGAAACTGGACATGTGGCAGTCCCATGTTTAAGTCCATAAAATACCCACCACCGCCACCACTCCCTGTAATACCGTCCTCGTACATGCAGTACACATTCACGTCTACTTTGGTATACATACCTTGTAGAAGACACTCGTAGGTTCATAACAATCTATTCCCTATTACCAGACTTATCATAAGAGTAACCATATGACACTGTAGTGCCCAGCTCCATCTGTTTACAACAACACAAGCAAGTCTACCGTCGGCAGTAGTTCCGTGAACAGTCGACGCAGGCTAAGATTGACGCTTGCAGACACCGAGATGTGCTCATGGTGTTTAGCAGGCAAGTTCTGACACCAGTCACAGTATTGCACCAGTACTGCCTACAGTTGGGATCTTGTCGAGGAACAGAACCCAAATGGCAACATCACTCGCCAGCTAACAAAGCAAAGAACCCAGATGCCAACATCACTTGGCATGGCACTGCTAGCCCCAGTGTACCGATTTCGGCTTTTCCCAATTGAGGGCACACCCCAATATTCAGGAAACACTTGAGCGCGCAAGTGCACTCCGGCCATGGCTGTAGTCGTACCTCAGCAGGTGTGCCCATTGCAGCATCGAAAACCTCGACACCTATACAGAGCCCCACCCATTGCGTCTGGGATTCCTCATCACACCACAGGACGGAAGATGGACTGAACTACAACCATCCCCACACTGCTACGCAACCCTCTTGTACAGGTAGACAATAACAGGCTGCATGACGCAGAAATAAACCACAGGGGCATCAATGCCCCGGAACCAAAGAAAACTGCACACTCCGTGGAGCCTCGTAACAGCTATACTGATGGCATTGTTGCCTACTCTTATACCAAACTGGCCATCGCTAACAGCAGTCGTGCCGTAGACAGCAGTACAGAGAACTCTGCGCAGCCCATTTCGATCTCTGTCTCTAAACATGCAGTTCAAAAGGACCAGAGTCACTACCCCACAAACTTAACAGTGAACACCATAAGAGAACTCAAATCTGAACATATTCAGCAAAGACAAAGCAGCAATTCATGCAGTGCTTCATTGCCATTGCTACAGTCACAGCAGTTGGGCGTCCTAGACAGAGCACCGAATGTCCATGTGGGAATACAACGGCCGCAAACTGAAACCAAGAGGATGCAGCCAAGAACAGAAAAGCAACCTAAGGTATACATGAGAGCTCAGTTCATAGAAAACCTACACACCAACTCACCACACACGGTACTGACAGAGTCCTCATCAGAAAAACATGTTGACATTCTAAACCATAAATGTATTCTGTTACACTCATGCATCCATGCATAATTTCACTCTAACCCACACTAGTCCTTCAAACACAAACAGCCATTTGTTCAATTTCCTATTAAATACCATGCACAGGTTCGATCGGGACACAACAGCAAGAACACGAGGAACAAGAGAGAAAGCACAACGAAGAGTGTCAGAGACATTTTCCTTTTTTTTCCCCAATTCTGGCAAAGTAGCAAGACACAAGAGCCTGGAGGAAACCCAGTAGGCCAGCCAGTTGACCGAACGAGAGGGCAATAAAGCCATCAGAAGTATGATACGCTAACACCCGCAGAGAAAATGTCTGCCACAACGAAGAAAGCAATTGGTCTGTCCAAGATCTTGTAACTGACACAGTCGTGGCGAGATAGGCAGGAGCAGCAAACAAAGCTCAGTCGTGAGGAAGGCGCCACCATAAAAAGTAGCAGGACCTGTACTGCAATCCGTCGAGCAGTGGGGGCCTTCCGTCTCATTCCCGCAGTTCGCAGTCGACCAAAGCAGACCAAAGACCTCCTCAAGACTGAGACTTGATCCCCGGGCAGTAGACAATTTTTTTTTCTGTGGTTCATGATCTGTTCATACTTCACAGCCAACCCCTTCAGTCTGCCCCATCTCTGGTGTCACCTTCAATTGGCTTTCCGCTACAGTAAATATTCTGGACCTTTTTGTAAAAGGGACTCCGTCTACAACGCCAGAACTGAGGAAACAGTGGCGCTCTGTCTTGGGCATTCCACAAGACAGCTTTTGCTCCGCATGCAAGTGCGTAAGCAACCTCCTCCATCCCCCATTGGCAGGCAGCTCCTCAGAACTCCCTCGACCACCAGTCTGTCCTCGTCTCGCTCTACGCGGAACTCGAGATCACGGTAGCTGTAATTCCGTCTCTCCACCGACCATCCATTTTCAAACCAGACTGGCGGCATCCCTCCCACCATCCCAACTCAAACCTAGCAATGTCATTGCCTTTCTTTCCAACAGTGTGTGCGGGCTGCCATGTAAGCAACACTGGCACCACTACGAACAGTTCGCGGCGGCTGCCATTCGACTGGATGCCTTCCCTCTGTCAAATACTGTCTTAGTCGAACCCCGCCATCTCAAGATTGTAAGCTGGGAAACAGCTTTCCGACACCTACACGTATGTCAAGATCGCCAACTGCTCGGTCCCCCAAACGCATTGATAGTCAATGCCCAGAGAAAGGGATTGGACACAAGCGAATCAGTCCTAAGGAAGCACAAGAAACATGCTATCACCTCAACAGGTAGCGCGACGGACAGAAGAGAGAGAAGTCACCTTCCGAGCAAAAGACATAAGCCTGACATGAGCAAAGGCAAGGTATGGAGGCCCTGAAACCGATCCATGTCAATGTCAAACCGTAGAAGACGGCGTGTGGTCCCCCTTGTGCCATTTACAGCACATTCTGTACAGAAACCAAGCTTTCACCTCTACCCACCGTTGGTCAAACTGGACACCAAGGAGTGCATCACTACCAATAACCCCCCGTATCAGGAATGCTATGTTAAGTTATAGTATTAAGCACAACGGAGCACCAAGTGTTGGCTGAAGAAACAGGCATTATTGCAACAGTCTCAAAGTCAAGAGGCAGGAAATACAGACAGCATTCAGTGAATGAATGTGTTCAACATTCAAAGATATGAAGGTGCTAGACGGTAAACGGGTGCTAGACGGTAAACGGGCGGTGTTGTTTGGGAGATAAATGCCAGAGGACAAGGCTATCATAACCATGTGCCTCGACTGCAGTTGATCGCTGTGCCATTGATGCTCGAGCAATTTGAGATGCATGATGGAACGAACTAACGCCCAGGCTAGCAATAAAATTTGAACCAGCCAACATGCGGAACAGACGAGCACGGCAAGTCAAGAAGAGGAGGATGGGGAATGGGTGAGTAATGGTACAATGTCGGGTTCAAGGATCAACCTTGAATGATGGAACAGCTGACGCGAGGATAGGCAACAAAGTTGATAGGAGTCCAACTGGCAAAACCCAGAGGCTGAGATGGGCCAATCAGCTTTCCCCGCCCACTCTATGGCGCAACAGCCTTCAACCACCCTTTGAGTGCCTTCAAGCATGCTCAATCACCATAAAAACTGCATGGACTTCGCTCGCTCGGTGAACTCGATTTCAGATCATGTGCCAAAACTTGTCTCAACTGCCTCCCAACGCCTCTTCCTCTGGATGTGTCTTGCATCCCTCACATCAAAGCCCTTTGCTGGCTACCACGTGCAGCCTCATGACGGACCAAGCCAAGGCATCTCCGGCCAGAGCTCTAGTCTGTTCGAATAAATTTTCCAACAAACCAAGGACGTCTGGTGGATAAAACACGTTCCAACAGTCTATTCCCGTTCTCGCAGCCGTTCCCTTCCATGGCCCTCTTCTGCCCACTCGCTTTCTTTTCTCTCCCCAAATCACCCCTCTCGAGCGCTCCTCTTTCCCCATTTCATTTCACAATGTGTGAGCACCATCCTCCTAGCCACGCAACTCCCTTTGTCCATCCACGGGTCAACCCCATCCCTCAGTTCCCTGTGCCTCTCCCATCAACTACGTCACCCTCGCCAACACGCTCTCTAGTGTTCCTGCCTCATATTGTTCCACAATACATCAGCACCACCCCCAACGAAATCTCCTCGACCGGAGTCTCTCACGCACAGACATCAGGCAAGGGAGATGACCATACCCAATTCCGAGTATACCCTGCCTCATATTGTTCCACAATACATCAGCACCACCCCCCAACGAAATCTCCTCGTCCCAAGTCTCTCGCGCACAGACATCAGCCGAAGGAGATGACCATACCCAATTCCGAGTCTACCCGCCCATCTCTGTGCACCCAAATCTTACAAACGGCCTTTCACAAGCATGACTCTCACCCATGCCTTTCTTTCCTAACTGGTCGAGACCAAAGCCATCAACTCTTCCAGAGGGTAACACAGCTAACAAGGCACAACGGACATCCCCTACACCCCACCCACACAATCGCACTCCTGCATATTGGCATTGGTTCGCTCCTCACTCAACCCCGACCCTCTCCCCTACTAGATCTATCTGACAAGAGAAAGAAACACAAATGGGGCTTCAGCAGCAAGCATTTGCCTCATTCCATCTAGTATGGATGGTATCTCGAAACTGGATTCCTCGGCTCTCGTATAGGCCGCGGACCCACAAACATTTCAGGGCCCCGGACAATCAACCCATCTCCTCTGAACGGTCTGCCCATCCCCTCCCCGGGCATCCCTTGAGATGCAGGAAGCGCCAGGGGCAGTGGGCCATTTTCAGGTGGCCTTGGCTGTGCCACCTTTATCTCGCCAATATCATGTCCTGATATAGTCCTTGGGCTTCTAGCTGCAGCCGCCTCGGCTGAGTGCATGGTAGTAAAGCGGACATAGCAAAACCCTCTCCGCCTTCCTGATACTCTGTCTGTTGGAAAATAGACATCTTTCACCTGCCCATACCTATACCAAAAAACACAGATCATTACCCACATTTACGGACATGATTAACACCATCACCCCGCCACAATAGCTACCCCAGGTAACACACACCATCATCCTTCATCAACTTCACGCATTTCAAGGCCTGCACATTCCTCTTCTTCGCAACTGCTTGACCGATAACCCAGCACCGCGTGGAATGGGCAAGTTCAACAGTTCATTCATCACCCAAAAAAATATTCCAAACAGTACAGTACCACAGCTTTCCAAAAAGAATAGCAGTCGCAGTACCACATACTCCACAATCCACAACAACTCTGCCAAATTCTGGTATCCCAACTTATCCCAACTTACCCAGTGTTTCTCTTCGGGACCATCGTCATCACATCCACAGTATCTTACGTTCGAAAACCGACTCAGATTCAGCGCCAACAGCACGCAATAGAAACCACATTCACCAAACCAATTCGACACCGACTCACAACAGCATACGGTTTTGCCGTCACGGGTCTTCAGTTTCCCCAACCGAAACGAGTCTATCGACCCAGCAGTTGAGTGCTTACAGTCATTTGATCCGTTGACTAGTTACGGGACCATTTGGAAGGAAAAAGAAAAACAACACAAACGAGGCTCAAAAACACGCATTGACGACAGCACACAGTCAGTGCGATTTGCGTCCAGCAATCGAGGGATTCTAAGCAGCAGCGAGCACAGGCTTGAAAGACACTACTGCGCACTCATACAACCAACAGGGATTGCGCATCTCCACTTTGGCAGAGAGCGACCTTATAGCTACTGCATTAGCCACACAGTCAGTGCGCTTTGCGTCCAGTAATCGAGGGATTCTAAGCAGCAGCGAGCCCAGGAATTGAAAGACACTACTGCGCACTCATACAACCAAAATGATTGCGCATCTCCACTTTGGAAGAGAGCCAACTTATAGCTACTGCATACACCCCTTACATGGCGTCTTCTCTTTCAACGGCTGGTCTTTTCCTCGAACATCGGGAGGTTAGCCGAAATACTCCCTTACCAGAACAAGACGGATAAAGGCTCCCAAATCAGGACAAAGCAGTGCACAGAAAACGTTACTTTCAAAATCAACGAGTCCCACTTCTTGCAATAGAAAATCCTGACCTCAAAATCTATCGCATACGAAACTCCAAAGAGATACAGAGATAACTATTCTCAAAAAGTAGTCCCCACTCCACCTAGCCAGTTCCCCAGACAGCACACCATCCCACCCCTAAACCAATCGGCATGACAAGTTCCCACTATCACACAGCACCGAAGGACCGGGTGCACTGCAGGTACTATTATTCTTATACTGCATCCGTGACTACTAGTAGTCTATACTTTCCGGACCGAAGAACGAGACATGATGGAACGCCGGATGCCGCACACACACACAAGTCGAAGCATCTTCACTGACTCAATACAGCATAAATGAGCTGAACGCAAGAGATACCAAACAAACACAAGAGTGTAAAGACGTGGCCCGACGCTCGGAACCGTGCGGAAACGCAAAACACACTGTTCACCGTGTGTACCTGAAACACCTGAAACGTGGCGGCGATTTCATGCACGGTAGTAGTATAGTCAAAAATAGCAAACCAGTTCGGTCTGCTTAGATGATTGAATAAACTTAAAAAGACCAAAGAATGGCAGTCCACCGAGAATACATAAAAACTTATTACATGGATTGCGGGTCAAACAAAAGAAGACAATCGAAAGACAAACACGGCTGCAGACCGATAAAGGAGAATGGAACGAGGACGCGAGTGTAGCGAGCCAGGGAGGCGTAGGAACGACGAGACAATAAGGAAGAGGAAAAACATCGCTTTGGTGCTCAGGATACAGTGTCTTCCGACGGAGTACGCCGACGAACAATAAGTGATACGACGAACATAGCAAGAATAGAGAACAGGATCTCATAAAGTACAGGTTAGGACACAGAAAATGCAGGTCAAAGACAAAGTCAGACGCAATAGTTCGTCATAATAGCATACATGAGCACACTCGAGGAGGCAGAGGAACAAGACGGCTGTGATGACTGGTCAGGAGTGATGCGACTCACCTTTCGAAGTGCGCCTTCATATCGCTCTCAGTGATCGCGTCAGGCACTCCCCCAACGAAGATCCTAAAGAACTTAGAATCGACAGTAAGCGGCGGTACCCCTCCGACTTGAGGCGGCGGGCCGTAGCTGGTAAACTCGCCCGCATTATTGTGGAAACCTGAATGGGGCACATCCAATTCACTGAAAGAAGGCTGGAAATACGTGGGAACTGGCGGCATGTGGGGCAGTGGTATCACCTCCGGTGGGGGAGGAAGCGCTAGATAGTCGTTAGGAGCCCGGAAGGGAGGCAGTCCACTATGCCCTCCGTTCGACATGCCCATAGGATGCCCACGACTTCGGCCGTACTCTGATCTGTAGTGTCTGTCATCTTTACCGCCGCGGTCAGGAGGGCGAGGGTCCGCTCGGCCGACTGGAATATCTCTTCCCTGAATCCGGTGTACAGGCATCTCGAGCTGTCCATGCAAACGTAAAGTAGATAGAGAGATAAAAGAGAGCGAGCCGTCAGTAAAACTTCACCGCCAGCACCATCACTAACAGTTATCCGACATGCCCTGAACACGACTCACCAACTATGCAAAGCGACGAGACCCGAAAGTAAGACAAGCCAGCAGTAGCAGCAGTTCATAGAAGAAAAGAAAAAAAACTGACAAACGAACACTACCATCTCCGCCGTCATGCCATCACCATTCCCACCCTCACGGGAACGGGGACCCCCAAATCCCTCGTCATACACCAGCGCCGACACCCCTCCCCTCAAGCGTTCATCCAACATTGACAGTTTACAAATCCCCATCCTCCCCCCACACGCGTTTCCTTGTGCATTTCTTCCCTTTCCGCGTTACGATGGTATACTACCACACCGAGGGGGTTTCTCCTCGAATCAAAGGGTACGTTCTCTCATCCACGTCTCTTCCAGCACAGCAAAACCTACACTTCCTTGACCGAGTCCTGACATTTAGACTCAACAATAGGATCCAACACGAGGGTAATTTCAAGCTTTAGAAACTGAAAGACAAAACGCGGTGAGCGAAGTAACCGTGTACCTCTCTTCTATCCACGGCCAATAAAAAGCATTCATCGCACCGATAGCAACGGTCCAACCTCAAAAAGCTGAAAAATGCATTGTTGACAAGTCGCAAGGGAGATTCAGCCTCTTCCTCACCGCGCGTTAAGCGCTAACATCCGTTCATCAATCGTTGACCAACGAGGCATGTTCTCTACGGGTGACACGTAACTGCAGTAATATCACGCTAGTCACGAAGCTGAGCGCGAAGCATCCACGAAGTAGTGCAACAACCGTTCATCAATCGTTGACCAACGAGGCATGGCACGCAGGTTACCAACAACAGTTTGGACAGAAAGCGCACGCCTCCTTTCCAAAGCGGTGGAAGCACATGAGCACTACCGTAGTTTTGAAAACGTGAGTTCCGTCCTATTCCTCAAAACGATCACCTTCAAACACGACCCACTTAGCATGTAGGACGTCGCATGCACAAGTGAGTTTTGCCGCGACAGAGTTACCAAATCGCACGTTCTACAAAGGTAAGAGGAGGAGTGGAGAAGAAGCAGGTAGGAATGGCCTCTTCCTATTGCTCAAAACGACCAGCGTCGAGCGACGACCCGCTTAGCATGTACGATGTCGCACGCAACAACAAGTGAGTTCTGCCGCGACATACCAAATCATACGCTCTACAACACAAAGGTGCGGAGAACTGGAGAAAAGAAGAAGCAATGCAATGCCCGACACTCGCTCACGAACACGACGTACAATATTACAATGAATAACGTGTTCAGCAAACTCAGCACGCGCACAGTCCTCGACGCGCGTTTCGACCGCTTCCGCTGCGGTCATCCTCAGGATGACTATCCGCTCGCCTGCCGTGCGGCTTTCACCTCATCCTACGACCGACTGGAGATGTGAGCTGCACATTGATCCATACCACGCTGCTCTGAGGAGAAGTGAACTGGACATCGATCCGTAACACACAGCTCTCGACGAACTGCCGACGCACCCTCGACGAACTCTCGACGAACTCTCGACGCCAACTCTCGACGAACTCCGGAAGTACGCACACGCTAGAAGAACGCAAACTCAGGACGAACTCCGGAAGTACGCACACACTAGAAGAACGCAAACTCTCGACGAACTCCGGAAGTACGCACATGCTAGAAGAAAGCTTCGTACATGGACGAGGAGAGATCCGGTCACGCGAAAGACTATCAACAGCAGCATATGAATACCAAATTCACAGCAAATGTACTACACACCTCAGTACCTGGTCGAGGAGTGGCCACCCTATGCGCACTTCAAACACCTGACGAAGCCCAAATAACGGGAAATAAACTACACGACCGAAAAATACAAACGAGCCGGCGAATACATAGACGCGGGGATCCAGTCACTCAAAAACAATGCAAGAACAGATGAATCCCAAATTCACAGGAAACGTACTACACACCTCCGTACGCAGTCGAGGAGTGGCAGCTCTAATCACAACAGCAGACGAAGGCCAAACGGACGGGAAATTAACCACACGACCGAAAAATTACAACAAACGAGGAGTCCAAGGATGTTATACGTGGAAAAACAGAAACATGCTATACGAGGTGTGGATATAGGAGGCTCCGATGTCCATAACGAAATATGCTTCTTTTCCAGAAGAGGAAACTCTCATAACAGATCTTACGAAGCTGACGCTGCAAGCGTAGGGGACTCGGATATTCATAACGACATACGCTTCTTTTCCAGAAAAGGAAAATTCTCATGATAGCTCTTACGAAGCTGACGGTGCACAAACGGCGCACTACCGTACACGTACCTACTACGACAACACACATACGACAACGTCAGGCGGCTAAGCGCTCTTCTACACGAGTAAAAGGCGGGAGCTCGAGCCGATGTGAAAGAGATGCCCATCATCATTCCCCCAACAACTCATTCCAATCATGTCACATAGAAGGTAACTACTCTACTCGTTTCCCAACATGGCAAAATCATATACCCCGCAAAAGGCTTCCGTACCAGAAGGCACCTACTCTACTAGTTTCCCAACATGGCAAAAATATTTTATACCCCGCAAAAGGCTTTCGTACCAGCAATTTCCGGATTCATACAACAGCAAGACGATGAGAAAAAAACCCACGATTTAGACCAATGAAAAAAGACGGAAGCTCAGCACGACGTTAGCGAAGCAGTAAGAGCCGGTTGAACAAGTGCTGTCACACGGGACTGACGCCGAATAAAGCACTGAAGTGCAACGAAGACCAACAAAAACAAGGCACACTAGGTACGTAATTGCACGAGCCCGTGCTTACGAGCTCGTGTCGATGTACCGTTCCGGTGGTGATTATGAATGTTTTACTTCTGCATCGTGACGCTTTACTCGCTCGAGACGCATAGACCCTCCTGCGACCTTACACTGCGTGATTACCCCCCGGATTATAGAAGCTCCTGTGAACTCGTGTTCACATACACTTTGACCTCCCCTCTTCATCTATCGCAAATTTTATTCACGAGTTCCCCAGACGACGAGAACTACCGAACGCTCCATTCAACGCACTCTTCATGATGGATTCCGCGATTTCAATTTCGTTTAAATCCTTGTGGTTGAAAGAACACATGCTGAGCGATCTAAAGAATCGTGACACAATGGACAAACCAATCAATTACGAGACTCAATGCACGGCGAATCAAACATCTTAACGCAGAATCACCAACGTAAGCGAAATCAACAATTTGGCAGTCTTAAGTAACTTCAAGCAGGAATCATGAAGAGACGCGTGACGCACAAAGCACCTCCTTTTTCTGAGCAAAAGAGCTCGTCAATAGAACGCAAAATTCAATTAGGGCATCGGACTCCAACACTTTCCAGAACAAATAACTATAGCTTGACTGCGCCAATACCACCGCAACTTCACTTTTTCCGATCGCATATAGGGAGCACTTCACTCAGTGCAAATGCAAAGACGAACACTTAAATACGAGCACGAAGCAAATATCACTGGCACAAAAGCCTCGCTCTTCGCAGTCGACCAGTACAAAGGTCACTCACACAGCAAGAAGAACGAGCGAACGCCGTGTTTATCATTAACGTTTTTCACATCCGTCCAAGACACAATTCCCCACCGGAGAAAGGCGATGTGATCATCACGGAAATTTAAAGCTGTGACTTTCCCCAGAAACACTATGCCAACGTCACCCCAACGAATGAAAAACTTATTGCGGACACACATCAACAATAGCGGCTACATGAAAAAGTTATTGCAGACACATAACAACAACAGCGGCTAAGTGTAGGAATACCAGACGGCCAGCGCGCGAGAGGGCAGTGATCAGAGAGAGCATCGACCAATAAGCGAAACGTATGGAGCCCACCACAAGACTAAGTGCGCGGCAACATCCGACTAAAACAGAGAGGGAGGGGGCCTCGCTCCACTCTACTCTCGACATGCACAGAGAAAAATCATGCCGGCGTATCTTTCCATATTCAAGTGGAAGATTCACTCTCGTTTTGGACATTCACGCCCTATCATGCAATTCGAAGGACGGAGGAGCAGTCTACTCGTTTTCTATAGTTTCAAAAACACAAAACTGTACGAGCCAGAGGAGCACCCTACTTGTTTTCTTCAGGTCAAAAAAGGCAAAGCTCGACAGCCAAAGTGAAACCCATTCGACGACGAATGAGCGAACCGGAGCATATGAAGGCAGAAAGCATGAAAGCCCCACTTCAATCAAATCAGTTCAAAAAACGCGAATTGCACGACCAAAGTAGCGCAAATCCGACGAAGTCGGAGAGGAGAGGAAGCGAAAGGAGACCGAAAGATAGGTGCGTGTTTGACACGATACGTATGCAAGCTGCTGTCGAATAGGGGCGACAAGAGGAACTCTCGAACGACGGAAAGATCACACTTGAACGACGACCGAGATCGCCCCTTGCCCGTAATTAACACTTTCGAGTGACCTTTTCTTCGATTTCCGGAAGAACCCAAGGACCTATATGGATGGACAGTTCTCGAAGCTATCAGCAAGGCGAAAAAAACGCGTCGACGTCATCAAGCAAAACCAAATGAGCAAGGGGGGGTTTCGCTCCATTTTGCCCAATCCAGAACCACATTTATCTAAACCCAGTTGGGGAAAAAACGAATTGAACGAGGTAGGGGAATGACTCGCAAGTCAACCGGAAGACGAAAGCCACCTAGCTGTCAACAACATAGGCTCGACAGGAAACAGCCAGCAAATCAAGAAGGCGATTAATAGAGACACAGCTGCGATCACCGGCGGTTCCGTGGTGAGCTCATTAAACGAGCGTTCCCTGCTTCACATGTTATTATACATAAAGAGGTCACGCATACACAAGCTTCCGAGGCTATCAGCACCACGAAAAAGCGGTAGCGCAGTAAAGTCACAATTGGTTTACCCTCCCCTCCTCATATCGCTCTTTTCAAACTTACCCCCAAGCGATTGTAATTCACTTTCTACACGAAAAAGGTGCCCTGCTCGAGCCCCCACTATACTCAGTTTAAACGAGCGTCCTCTCCTTCACATATGAAGCACGTGTAGCTTTCGAGGCTATCAGCACCGCGACAAAACGGTAGCGCAGCAAAAAGCCGCAACTGGATTATTATTATTACCCTCCTCACATCGCCCTTTCATAACTTTTCCAAGCGACTGTAATTTCAATTCCTGAATGAAAAAGGCGCCAAATTTTAACTCCCACTATACTCAGTTTCAAAATCGAATTCACAGAACTAGTTCAGCCTCACTCGACACTTCCCCAAAGGAGCGCTCGACGACCTCCGTAAGTATCGATGACATTGACAAAAAAAGACTGGACGACAGGGTTGCAAGGTATGTAGAACCCATCAGATTGCAGCCAGAAAGGGAAACGTAAACACGCGGGAAAAAACGAAAAGGAAAGAAAGCCCGGCACAGCTTCATTCGATACTTCCCCCAAAGGAGTGCTCGATGGCCTCCGTGAGTGTCTATTAGATCAGCAATAAACTAAACGACAAGAGCTGCAGCCAGAAAGGGAAACATAAACACGCGGGAAAAAACGAAAGGGAAAGAAAGCCCGGCACAGCCTCATTCGATACTTCCCGCAAAGGAGTGCTCGATGGCCTCCGTGAGTGTCTATTAAATAGGCAATAGACTATACGACAAGAGTTGCAAGGTAAACAAAACCCATCAGATTGCAGCCTAAAGGAACACACACACACGCGGGAAGAAAGGAAAGGGAAAGAAAGCCTGGCACAGGGAGAATCTGCAAGAAAAAGTAGAAACCATCCAACTACAGCCGCAAGGGGCAGCACGAACACTCGGGAAGAAAGGAATGGAAAGAAAGCCCAACACAGGGAAGGACAAACAGGCGGGAAGAAAGGAAGAGGAAAGAAAGCCCGGCACAGGGGAAGAGCCTACGAGAACAAGTAGAACCCATCCGATTGCAGCCATAATGGGCAAAACAAACATGCGGGAAGAAAGGAAAGGGAAAGGAAGTCCAACAAGGGAAGTACTGTGCAAACCTTGGCCCTCGACGCATTACCTTCCTCGCAAGATACAACCTACCGCGTGCGAGAGCGCTCTCTTCGAAACGAAAAACGATTTTTTATCCCAGAGCAAGTTCTACCGCGCTGAATCATCTCCTGCTTCCTGAGTTACCATCAGCGAGACAATGGACCACAACAATCTCCAGACGAAAAGGAACCCCCGTTGATTGCAGTCCAAAAGAGGACCTCACGTGCGCAGGGAAAAACAGGAAAGGGAAAAAGAGACCCCACCACAGGACAAGAAATCCCACTTATCGAGACGCACACGACAGCATTTTACCGCCAAAAAAGAATGACAAAAGATACGAGGGGCTGGAGACAACAGACGAGATCGACGACCTTTAGCGGACAAGGAGAAGACACCGAAGGTCTTACAAGTAGAGCACATAGAGAGAGAGAGAGAGAGGAGATGCAAGCAGACGGACAATGAATAGCCAGAGAAGTTCAGCACGACCATACATAGCTAGCAGACAGATTTATCAGAAAGCCAGAAAGAGAAGTCGGCAACATTAAGAAGCACTATTTTTCCAGTACAAGGACACGATTAAGCCCTTCATTTTCGGTCAATGTAATAGCGCCGCCGATCGCCTCAGGGTTCCTCTTTCACAATTTCTCATGTAACGGACGAAAAATGAAAAAGGCAAAAAGCGCTCATTCGCAAGTTAAGAGGATCGGAGCCGCAGATACTATGCACCATACGTGTAGGATACAAACATTTCTTCGCTAGTCTCTCATTAGGCAGACTCAAAGACTACAAACGAGGCGACTTTTCAGCGCCCGCAGCCTCTTAACTCGAAAGAGTCAGCAGTAAAGTCGTAGCGCAAGCTGGCAAGTAAATTACAAACAATCCTTACCATTAAGAAACTGATGGTACGCACACAATTGACTATTGACTTTTCCATCTTACGCCTGGACTATTCGCCCACCACACCCTCTCCGATGGTTTGTTTCCCCTCTTCCGCGTGGACTATTCGCCAACAACCCCTCCGATGGTTTTACACCCTGATTACTCAAAAAGATCAGTCTCCGAGGTTTCAAAGAAAGGCGACTTCTGAGATCTCGCACGCCGTGACTCGCAAAAGGCCGTAGCGCTAAACTCTGGCAGACAAGTTAAACACGTCCTTTACCGTGTGAAGAATTGACGATACGGAAACAAAATGGACTAAACTTTCCCTCTTCTCTGCCATCACTGGGCTATTTGCCGGGAACCCCTATCTACCCGCTCTGGCAATGCCAACGTTTTAACAGGATGGAGAACGACTCATCCCTAGTTATTTTTTCGCCTCCAACATGAGAGGAAGGATGACAAACTTAGTCGATAAATAGCCCACCGGTCCTACTCCGAGTTCAAAAGACGCGGCTCGAACGATACAAGGGCCGCAAGCCCCAAGCACTACCATCGCGACAACCATCCTATCTGCCACTGACGAAGAAGCGAGCGAGGACAAGAAGGGCATTACAATCTACTCCCCTATCACCTGAGAGCACACCCGATTTGAGGGATGCTTCCTCCCGCCCGTGCAATACCGACAGAAAAAAGGACGACAGACTTGGTCAATAAATCGCCCACCGATGGTTCTCCGAGCCCAAAGACGGGCCCGAGCTATACAAAAGCTGCAAACCCAAGCACTACCATGGAGACAAACCATCCTATCTGCCACGGACAAAAACACGACACGCAAAACATCGCAATACTTCCCTATCAGCCTACGAACATACCCGACTTCAGTGGTGATGGTGAATCCTCCCACCCGTGCAACCTACTGAGCATCCAACACGCAACGTTACCCTCATCCATAGCGTCTCGCACTCTTATGACGTCTTAGCCTACTCTTACTGCGTGTAGCACTCAGTTGTCCCCTACCTTACTCCAGTCGTCAGTCCCTCCACAGCGTACTGTTCACATAATTTGACAATACTGACCGACCGATGCACTCCTACGTTCACGTCCAACTTCAAACACAAATATGAAATCACTCTCTCTCTCTCTCTCTCTCTCTCTCTCTCTCTCTCTCTCTCTCTCTCTATCTATCTATCTATCTATCTATCTCTATCTATCTATCTCTATCTCTCTATCTCTATCTCTCTATCTCTCTATCTCTCTATACTCGGCTAATAAAAACCTCCTACAATTTTGCAGGATATCATACGGGCAGTACGAACGACACCACCCCAGAAGCATGCAACTTCCGAAGAGCGATACTTTGGCAGGCACGCGGCTTACGCTTTGAGCCGACAGAGCTCCCTGGTACCACAAACGGACAACGGAAGAGGAATCAACCGAAGCTGTAGACGTGGACGCTGCATGCTTCGACCTACCACTAAAAAACGCTCAGGCTAGAAATCCGAGGCGGCGAGTTCAGAGTCACTCAGGATTCGATGGCGGACGACAACGAAAGACGTGGCATCCGACGGATGGAAAAAAGAACTCAGAGAGAATCGGAAGCGAAGAAGGGACGTAGCATGCCTTGTGGCCTTACGTTGGAAATTCGTGAGACAAAATGTCTGGAAATCGGAAGAAAATAGAAGATTCAGGGAGAATGGGCATGGAAAGCGAGAGCTGAACGAAAAAGAACAGGATTCCCGAGGTGTGACAAAACGTGAGCCCGGAAGGACAAAAGGATCGATAGATAATCGGGAGGGTAATGGGACCACAAGGAATTCGCAAGACGATATAAGAATACAAAGAACTACATCATGTTCAACTCACAAGCAATCACAGCGCACTGGTACTAGACATATAGCTTCAGATGACGTTTTCCCGCAATCATGTGTACCTCGAAGCGCAACATTAAGCGCAGAGCATCCCGGCGAGACATTTAGCCAGCGAGACGTTTTGACATGTCTTCCAGCCAGTAGATGGCAGGCCATGAGCCTATACAGGGAGAACAAAGAAATAGACAAAGCCGCACAGAGGAATTGACTTGCAAGCTTTCGTCTTCCTTCTGTTCCGACCAGACAGCAAGTGGGCGGGAGAAGGGCGTAAAGCAGCTAAGTCTTACCGCAACATTGATAGCTTCTTCCTTGGTGAAGGTCACGAAACCAAAACCTCTCGACTGTTTGGAGACAGGATCCTTGGGGATGTACACGTCCGTCACCACCCCGTACCTCCTGAAGTGATTCTCAAGAACATGCTCTGTTACATCCCCGGTTACCCCGCTTTTCAAGAAGATTCGATGCCGTTTGTGCGACATCGTCTGTTCCTTGAGCTCCGCCGCCGCTACGTCTTCCCCTTCTCGAAGGGGCGTAGGGTCTTCTCTCCCCGCTTCCTCCGTTCTAGAAGCAGAAGCGAACACGGGGAGCGCGTGATGGCATGCAGACACGCAGGGCGAGCAATCCCGCAGCAATACAATTACAAATTGCGACACCCCGCGTGAGTCAAGCTCTTTTTTTCACTACGAGAAGTCGACCTCATTCACTGTAGACGAAGAGAGATGAGAGAGTGAGCGGGCTTCTCTTGCCACGTCGGTATCCTCTTTGTCCACCGTGCTATATCGATTTCTTTCCCTTGCTTAGCAGTAATACTTTTCGCATGCTCTCTCCTCCCTGCTTGCCCCTCCCTCGTGCCCAACGCTCACTCACTCCCCACAAGCCGTCCCCGATGACAGCACGGCCATCAGCCAGCAAGGAACACAGAGAGAGAAAGAAGACGCAGCAGGCGACGAATCACGCGACCGCTTCACGGTCTAGGGTATCATGGAAACGAGCCAATGCAGTCAGCCAGCCCCGCTCGCAGACGACCGGTCGACGGATACGATTACTACGTCAGTTCTCTCGAACACCGAACGCATCACCACACCCGCCTGAGGCGAGCAAGCTTGCACAAAGGTCGCACACCCGAAAGAACCCTGATTGCTGGCTAACCCCGCCACTAAGCACACGCCACTCTTGACTTCCGTACAGTCTCTCCTTGCGCGTGCCCCACTACAGCTACCGCCGATCGCATCAGTCAGGAGCAGCAGCAGCAGCGAGGAAAGGAACGGGAGGACAACCCGCCGCCCACGAGCGGTCGGACGGCCAGCAAGAACACACATAGGAATCGCGGACCAGGACCGAAAAGCGACGACTGTGATGATCGTACAGGAATACAGGAATGGAATGGAGAACACGAACGAGGAGGGCTGCCTCCTGCGCCCGTTCACCTTGCTTGCGTCTACTTGGCCACTGACAGGCAAGCGGTAGGGAGCCGTTGCTCCGGTCAGACCATCCAGCGAACAGGATGCATCCTGGAGCTTGATACTCGGCGAACCCAACCCGCACGATCTGCCCCTTTCGGAATCCACGCCCACCTGACCCCGACAGACCCCCGCGCCAAATCCTGATCACTCCCAACCGCCACCCACTTTGCCGCCTCGCTTCTGGCCCCTTCCCCACTGCTTCCCACACCTTTCTCACCCTCTCTCTGCCGATCGATGTCCCCTTTCCATTCGCCCCGCTGTGTCACAACCTCACTGACTGCAAAAAAAGGGTCGCAGAGGGACAATCTGTCATTTTTTTGAACGCGGGCATCTGCCACCTCTGCGCACCCCAGCCATTTACAAGATACCGGCAGTAGAAATTCTTTTTTCCCGCAGCCAGTGGAATTAGCATTACGGGAACCGGGATTTTACACGCGCTGGCTTCCTCTCCCGCGCCACCACTCCTCGCAAGCAATCTTTTTCCTCATCATGATGTGTGCATCATAACGTTGTGATCGTCCCCCAACCCTCAAGTCAGTTTTGACTTGAGTCCTAACGTACCTGATGATCTGATGATCATATATGCTTTTTCGCTTCTTCGTTCTTACGTTCCCCCCCGACCGCCGTATTCCCCACTCTCTCCACTCTCTATTGTCTATCCTTGCCCCTCCTGCTCCCGCTTTGCAGAAGTCTGCAGTCGATTGAAAAGTAGCCTAAATTCCTCGCCAACGTCTACTGCAACTCACCGTGCCATTCCTTGTCATTTACTCAAATTACTCAATCAAATAGTGCCCTGATGTCATTTACTCAATTACTCAATCAAATAGTGGCCTGATGCCACACGTAAATTACTCAATCAAATAGTGGCCTGATGTCATTTACTCAAATTACTCAATCAAATAGTGGCCTGATGCCACACGTAAATTACTCAATCAAATAGTGGCCTGATGCCAGACGTAAATTACTCAATCAAATAGTGGCCTGATGCCAGAAGATGAGTTCGGGGGGGATGTGAGAACGGGGAGAGGGGGATACAGGGGTCATGGAGCTGGTGCCTCAAACGGTGTTTGTCTTGACTACTTGAGTGTATACGAGATGAAGAGTGCAGCTGGGGTGCAATGCTGGGCCATTATGTTTGAATGATGCAAGTGATGATCTCTTGGCTACCTTGTGGACACTGACAAGGGATTGCAAACTTGATTTTTTTTTTCCCCTTCAGATCTAAGCTGCATTCTTCTGTGATTCATCATGCTTGATTTAAAATAAAAAAAGTTAAAATTAAAAAAAAAAACGATCTTTATTATTTATTTATTGAAAGATTTAATTCAGATCGGGGGACTCAGGATGATTGAGTACTGATCGCGGTGTGAGTATGCAATCTAACTGCAACGTTGTTCTTGCACGCCTCTCCCAGTGTGTACTGTGCAACGTGTACGTTTCTCGAGTTCGTGGGTTGCGTTTTTCGGCATTGCAAAAATGCGAGATCCCAGTGCCTGTGAAAGACCAAAAGAGAAGCATTCAAACGAGCAGTCGTGGAAGGGGCTGTGTTGGAGGTGGGGGGTGGGGGGGAGGGGGGGAGCAGGGGGCATGCAGAAGGGTAATAATTGAACACTTGTAGGGGCCTCAGTACTGATCTGGTGGCATTCCACTTATAATGATAGCTCTCAATAACTCTGAATTACCTGGGGCAGGCCACTTCAGTGTTCATTCTAAAGGTCAGCTCAGGGGCCTCAGTACTGAACTGGTGCCATTCAACTAATAATAATAATGCTGAATGACTCTGAATCACCCAGGGCAATTCTGGATGCACACACAGATGAGCCTTAGAGAATGTGTCTGACCACTATCACATCCACATTCACTTCAGCCGGGGAAGAAGGTAGTATGCCCTCCGTGGTTTTGGAAAGCGAGTGGAAGGGTATCCTGGAAAAGAGAAAGCTTTGGGTCCATGCCATAAGCCTATTTTTCTTCGGGTCAAGGGAAAACTAAAAGAAAAAGAAAAAGAAAAAAAAGAAAAGAAAAAAAAAAGGGGAAAAAGACATGTTGGGGGGAATAGCAGCTTGGGGAAAAGAACGATAAAAATCGGTTGATTAGCTTCATGTGAGCATGTTGTTGATTGGAACCATGAGTAGGACCACAAAGTGAATTTGTTGAGGCCCTCTATCTAAGGGCAGAAAGCAGGACACCAAGGCACGTATCACTGAGCAGACAGCTGTTCTTGGCAGATTCGGTCTCCTGACCGTTAGCTAACGAACTAGTCGAATCTTCTAAATTCGGCGGCATAAAACAAAAAGTGGACGGGCCTGTCTTTTCACCTACAGAAAATGGCCAGTCGGGCAGAAAGCAGAGGCCCGGAGAAAAGACCACGTGGTTCTCGGGGGGTAAGAAAAGGCCAGTTTGGCTCTTCTAAATTCGGGGGCAGAAAACAAAAAGTAGACGGGCCTGTCTTTTCACCTCCAGAAAATGGCCAGTCCGGTAGAAGGCAGAGGCCCGGAAGAAAGACCACGTGGTTCTCGGGGTGCAAGAAAAGGCCGGTTTGGCAAGAAGGAATAATATCAGCCTTCGAGTAAAGACCACGTGGTTGTTTGAGAACATATTGCCCGGTTTGTCCAAAAAGCATGAGCTCACCTTCGGAACGAATACCACGTGGTTCCCTTAAAAAATTGTACATTCAGTTGGCCGGAATCATAATATCGGCCCGTAGAGAAGGACCAAATGGAAAATTAAAAATTTGAGTCAGTGTATGCACAGGCCGCTTCTGTCTTTTTTTTTGGTCAGACTTGGATCTCGGGGGCATCCACACGTGTTCCGGGAATTGCTCAGGGTTTGCGTTCCGGGAGGCCCCAGCACGTGGTACTCGGGGTCATCTATTGCCTTTATCCTTTTCACTTCACCAAAGTAGCCCTACGCCCTGGCAAATAAACACAAAATTACAGGGCGTGCCCACGTGGTGGTGTCGATTTAGTCCTAGCTCCCACAGCCAGAAAACATCACAAACCAAGCTATTCCATGCTAGGCATAGTTCCGTGACGTGTACCCTGACAAGAAGCTTCAATGTTATTGTTATTATTGCCCATTCTACTGACCCCTTTGCTGCCACGACGATTGAGCTTGGTTGTTTGAGCAGCCAATTCATGCCACTCATGCAAGGTCGACTAGCCTCCACGCGTCATTGAACTGCAAAAAGCATCAATTTTGTTTTCTTTTTGAAACAAAGGGAGGTGTAGGGTGTAGAGGGGGGCACAAGTTGTCTTTTTGAAATAAGGGGAGTTAGGAGGTGGAGCAAAGTTGCAGCCAAAAGAAAAAAGCCAGTTGAGCATCAACATTCAGCAAAGGAGGTGCTGGTCACACAGATATGAGCAGGCTGTAGTTCTCTCCCACTTAGGGCTGAAGCACACTGAGTGAGCCTTGAATAAAAGGTGAGAGAAGGAAGAAGGAAAATCGCACAGATATGCGCATGCTGTACTTCTCTCCCACTTAGGGCTGAAGCACACTCAGTGGGCATGCTGTAGCTCTCTCCCACTTAGGGCTGAAGCACACTTAGGCCCGGATCCCATAAAATCCTACGGGCTGCATCAGAACAAAAATCAAGCATTCTGTCCCACTAAGAAGCGCACTCATTGACCCTTGTATAAAAAGAGAAAAGACAGAAGGAAAATGGCACGCTTAGGCCCCAATCCCATAGAGATCCCTTTGGGCTGAAGAAGCCCACGAGTCACTCACAGTTCTCTTCTTCAGACCCCCCAAGCGGACAGTCAGTCCCCTTCTAAGCGATGGGGTGATCAACGCGGAGCGAGTGTGTTGGACTGTACTCTTTTAGTTGTCGCTATACAGGGTTCAGGAAGTGCTCCCTACGTATAGACTGCAGCTATCTCCAAAAGTGACCTTCCAATGGGTGGAGGCTTGCATCCCCACCCGCTCGAGCCACCAGATGACATTTTCTCCAACCAAAAAACAATAAGGCTGCCCGAGTCTCCGGAAAAAAAAAAGAAAAAAGAAAAAAAAAAAAGTCACTTGTAGACTGGGCAGTGTTCCATTCATCCCAGAGGGAGTGGTAGGCCTTGACGGATCTTGTAAGGGGTGCGGTGTGCTGAAACACACAAGTGAAGGAAACCCGATAATATGCCCTAGTTCCAAAAAACAACAGAGAACGACATTCCCAAGTGCGAGCTCACAGACCCGAGATACTCCGTGAACTAAAAGAGGGCATGCCTTTGCATTCCTTTTTTTTTTTTTTTTTTCGGAAGTCCATGGTGTTGTAGAGGCCGGTCACTGACTGCACGGTGATCACCTGGAGTGGTAGGCCGTGGGTGTCCTGGAATATGAGACCACCTTCCCATCCCATCCTCACATCAGTACTCCTAGCGCACTTTCTTTACGGTACTGTAGTGAGGGGAGTGGCGGGGAAAAGTGCATAAATGGGGCTGGACTGCACGGTTTTGCAACTATCATAGGTAGCTGGGCATACTGAGCAGGTTCAGGGGTACTCTCGGCAAGACCTATTTTGGCTTTGTGTCTGTTCGGCCTGTGGGACCAGGTTGTGACCGTACCTCTGTGGGTACCAGTCCAAACCAGTCAGTCTGCTGGGGATACACCCCAGCTGGGGTAGGTCATTCTTTTTTTTGTTTTGCTTTTTTTCCTTCATTCAAACATGAACACCGAGGCTGTCTTTCCTCAGAC